TATTGATCTTTGACTCAAAATATACAATTCTAATATAACATAAAGTTGTACACAACTTAAGGTCTTTTTATAATTAGTTGTAAGTATATATGCAGGTTCAAATCTTCTAGTTAATTTTGTTTGTGTACTTCCTTGCTTGCTTGCTTTTTTCTATTTTAGTTAATTAATTCCATCAGTGTTTTATGGCTGGGTAAGAGGGTATAGTGTTGAATCTGGGGCACTACAGAAATCCTTGTCAATGAAGAATCATCTAGGTTGTCAGAAAACTTGAGTACTTTCCTCACATAGGGGGAAAATATTTTAAAATAGAAAAACTCACAAAAATATTTTAAAATGGGTTGTAACTTATCTCATACCATAAATATGTGGTTGACATCCAACAGATCGTCTATATTTATTGAATAAAACCATCTTCCATATTTAGTTATCAGAGCAAGGTATTTGAAAATAGGTAACAAATATAGGAAAGTGAATAAAGCAGTACTAAATGTCATCCAGCCTCCCATTTAAAGACTTGAAAAAAGATGACTGTTCCTTCACTGTACCACAGACTGAGTGTCCCAAGTGTTAGATGAAATTAATCTGAAAAATGAAGGTCAAGATGTAAAGGTCAAAATGACACTCTACCCTTCTCATAGTGTTTATGCATTATACCAGATAGTTTTCATATGATCATTTTTTATCATCTAAAAAAATATTCTGGAATGCAGGATAGCTCTTCTTATATTCATTTTACAATGAGAAATCTAACACTCAGAGAAAGAATTTTTACAAGGTTACATAATTAGTAAATGGAAGTATAGAAAGTAAGGTTCAAGACTTTTGACTCTATAATGTAATCTGGTAAAAATATGTAGGTCATTTTTTGACCATTTTAACTTCTGGGCTACTTATACTCTCTCTAGCATACTAGTTCTGTTTTATATGCTAGACAATTCCAATATACTTTTTTAGATTATTCTTCCCCATCTTGGCCTCTCTCTTTCAGTGTTGATGCCAACTCACCTGCCACAGTCACTCATCCCCATGGCTCCACCTCAACCTTATCATTTCCAGTTATGGTGACTGTCCTCTGTCTTTGTTCCATGCACACCCTTCTCTGACCAGCATCCCCTTTCTTTCCAGCTTACTCTATATTCCAATTCTACTAGTCCTTATGTAGCATCATGACTTAAATCCATTGATCCTACTCTTTTTTTCTCCTTGAAGGGTTCAAAAATTACAGGCATTATCTTCTTTATACCCAGAACTCTCGTCTCTCTCTTTTTTTATCATACTACTAGATTGATCTGAAAAAAATAAAAGTGAAAAATGTTAAGAATTTATAATATACCCCATTGGCACAAGGAACTGGGAAAAAATAATTCTATCTTTCCAGCCTGCTGAGAAGTAGATGACTGCATCCTCATTTTACTTGAGAGAAAACTGATCCTCATGGGATTAAGTGACTTGCCCAATGCAATAATTAATTTGTGTCAACTTGACTGGGCTAAAAGAAGCCCAGATAGCTAGGAGAACATTATTTCTCGGTGGATCTGTGAGGGTTTCCATAAGAGATTAGCATTTGATAGGTAAACTGAATAAAGATCACCCTCACCAATGTAAGTAGGCTTCATCCAACCAATAGAGGGACTGAATAGAACAAAAGGGCAGAGGAAGGGTGAATTTGCTCTCTTTCTTGAGCTGGAAGATCCATCTCTCCTGCCCTCAGTCATTGTTGTTTCTGGTTCTTGGGTCTTTGGGTTTGAAATGGAGCTACACCAATGTCTTCACTGGGCTCCAGTTTGTAGACGGCAGATTGTGGGACTTCTCATCCTCCATAATCACCCTAGACAGTCAGTCTCTCATAATAAATCTCTTTCTATGTATCTCTCTATATAAATACCTATATCTATATATACTCACATAAAGATAGATATCCTATT